TGTCAGAAACATGGAAAAGGGGCAGAGAGCAGAGCTGATGAACCTGAGCTAGGTAGGCACTTCTCTCCTCAAAACAGCCAGGAGCTGTGCACCTGGCAGCTACAGAAGGGTACTCTCCTTAGCAGGGTGCTAAAATGTGGAAACGGCCTTTAAGAACCAAGACTGCAACACACAGGAATCCATCAATCGGCTCCTGGGGGAAAAACATCATCTGCAACAGAAACGACTATGTTCAGAGCTATGTTGCAGAGCTACTGTGCTAACAGAAGCAATGGCTTGGAAATGCATGTTTGTCCTATAAGCATTAGGGCAATGCACCATGTTAGAAGGTCCCTGGTAGGCACCCTGATATCACCTGTATTCATCCTTCTCTAAATTGTATAGAGCATCCTACTCTCGTTTCCGGTATTGCCCTGGCCAGGGTAACTTGTGCCTCAGTTACCTCTAATAAGTAACAGTACTCAGCACAGAAGTCACAGGAAAGCTCCATCTGCAGATACAACGTGCCACAGCCTCTCCAAGGCCTCTCAGAACTGTACTCTGTGATTCACACTGACCGTTCCAACCAGTTCTGGACCTGCTCGAGTCCTAGCTGCCAACCACAGCAAGACTGAAGGGACTACACCTCAGAGATTGCCCTTCTATTCTGGACTCTCTCCCAGGAGTATTCCCCCAGCCTAAAATACCTTGCAAGAAGCAGCCTTGGGGAGTACTTTACTAGAGAGTCTAACAAAAGTATCTCTGAGTAAATGCAATACACCATGCAGACATCTCCATGGGAGTAATGAAATCTGGTTGAAACTGCTGGGCAGGAGGTGGAAGGCAAGATGTGCTTTGCTGAGAAGAGTTCGGACAAGGAATTCCCTGGCAGAAAGAACTTAGCGTGTTTTGAGACCTGAGCCAAGGGCACAGTGTGAGGACTCCCTTTCTATGACGAAGGAAGAACATCCATGAATGAGGCATGGCCTTTGCAGTCCACATCTAGCACAGGCTGTTGCAAAGCCAAGGGGAGCAGAGCCTTGGCTGTAAAAGGACAGCAATGTTTCTACCACATCTTCTCCATGGCACTAAGGAGTAGGGCGGCAGGATGAGCTGACAACTAACCACACCCAGGAGAACTTCCACAGAGAGTAAGGATGAGGTCAAACTGACAGGAGGGGAAAGGAGGAGAACAGAAAAGGAAGAAAGTGGGTGGGGAGGGTGTGACAGGGTGTGACAGTGCTAGTTAAAGCAAAGAGTGTAACCGGGCTTCTCTGTAGACTGAGTGGGTCGAGCCCTGAGGGACAGATTGTATCTCATACATAATTCCCATACCTTGCAAAAACCCATAGTGATGGAAAGGGATTTTTGTCCCCACTCACTGCTGAAAACAGGGTGATGCGGCACCAAAGACTGGAAGATACCATTAAGCACCATTCACTGGCTTCCATGCTGGCACGCTTCCAGTCTTTAACTTCCTATTCCACATGCGTACCACGAAACACATCCCAGTACCTTCTAGCAAATATAAGAGCTATAATAAAAAGGTCAAAAGCTACAACTGCGATGTGCACAATGAGTTGGATGGGTAATTTGTTTGGTGAGACTCTCAGATGATCATAGGAACTGGGTCTGCAGAGACAGACAAATCTCTCATCTCTCCTGATAATATTCTCTGATGACCTGGAAACACATCACCAAACAGAACCCTAGGAGAAAGGAGAGAGATGTATTTTTTTCCACGTAGATACTAGATGCCTTATTAGTGAAGGAAATTATATATGAGACGGATTCCAGCTCCTTGTTTTTCCTCAGTTCTCGGTTTATTTGCGAGCAGCCTCTTGGCTGGCAGTGTTTATTTAGCATGTCATCAGCCTCTGGAGTTCAGTCCAGCACCAGTTCCCATTGCATTAGGTGCTATGCAAACAATGCGAAGCAGGCAACTTTCAGAAGGAGCTCTTGCCACTTGCTCATTCTTGAGTGATATTTGTTAGGCATTTTCTCCAAATAATCCTCAATCTCTTAGATGTCTATTAGATAGCCCTCAGAAGAACTTACTATTTCAAATATAAGGAGTTGGTTTTAATCGGGCAAATCATAGATTTCCCAGCATTTCTGTGGTCCTGAACACATGAGATAAGCTTATAAACTGAGGTTTTCTGCGAGGTTCTCTCTAAGGCTTCAAAATTCAGCATCTGAGTAGCTTATTCTAGTCTGTCTCTGTGCCGTTGATTCTGAGCTTCCCGGCTTTACCGTCTACCCGCAATAATCTCTTGACAACAGCAGAACTGGAAACAGCTTCTTGTCACTTTTCAATGATTGCGTCCTTCAAAGCAGGTACTGGACTAACAATAACTGGATTAGCAGAGAATGGATTTTATTCCTGTTCACAATGAACAAAAAAAACCCCTCCTGTAATAGTAGTCCTAGATGTGTTTCCCCTTCCCCCCCCCCTTTTTTCCCCCATCTATCAGAAAAGCAAGTTCCTAAAAGATTTCTCTTTAGGGTTTCAAGTCGAAAGATGATATATTTTTCAGATGTCAATAAAAGACAGTATTTTTCAAGAAGGTATTCTTATTTAACTAGGAAAGCCCCAGAAACTGGCAGTTCTATATATTCCAGTTAATAATCTCCTCCACCCCTCTGGATTTTTAGACGGTCTCTAAAAATCCAGATCACGAGTCCACCACAACCATTAATGTATTTTCCAGCACAAAATCTCTCTTGGCAAGAGAGAGCTCCTACTATCCTGTTTCTGAGAGACAGAGACACACAAAGACTTGCCCCAAAACACAATTCATTTATGGAAAGAAAAGGAGCAAGTCCCAAGATATTGCCCAATCTTTCCCTTCCCTGCAAAGCACAGTCAATGAAGCTACTTGCTCTTCCTAGGAACATTTCTTCCAATCCATTAATTGGAAGATGCAATCATCCAGAGCAAATATGCTCCAAATAAATATACATACAAATTAATAGACATGTACAGTAAAAGAATAAATATTTTACCATCCAGCCGGCTCTCTCCACTTTCATCTTATCTGATTCATCAGGGACAGGAAGTTTAACTGATAGAGCAGTGTGGGAGGACTGCCATTCCCACACCTGGCAGAATCTGGGGTTTTCACAAAGCACAACATGTCCAGCCTTGCCTGCTCCAACTGGTTCAAGAGAACTGGGCAGAGCATAAAATATGTAACATGCCTAAAGAGGCCTTCTGCAAACAGCAGATGGGGCTAGCGTTAAAAGACCACACCAACACACCAAAAATGCTCTTCTTCATTAAAGACTTCCTGTGATACCTTCTGAAAGTCCCTTACTCTGACTCTTCATGCCTGTCTATAAAAGGGGGTACAGAAATCTTTAGTCAGAGTAGGCTGCAAGCTCTCTGGAGGAGAGCTATATCTAACTGTATTTCTAGTGTTTGTCACAATGTAGCCCTTTCTCACACATGGTATGTGAAAGATATAATTGTTTCTCTTTCAACTTCAATTTCACATTCACATGTTCAGGAAATGCCAAAATTAGGACTGTCCTCTACTTAAAGACATATTCTTTTTGACTAGAGAATCACGTGTCACTAACTACTGCGTTGATCGGTTCCAGCGCACACATACACCATCTAGGCTACAGGTACCGATCTCTCAATGACCGTAGCCATCAGATGTGTAAAATGCAAACACTGGAAGTCAACAGTTGGTCCTCACTGCTGTCAGTCTGTCATCTCTCCCCCGCACCAGTTTCCTCCCCTCAAATACAAAAATCCAACGTTGCCCATACCAGGGCTTTGCTCTTGTCAATCTAGGCCAGCCTGATGCTGGTCATCCATGCTGGTGTCTCTCCTCTGAGCTAGGTGCTGCAAACCTTCAGTCATGGCAATTTTCAAAGGTGTATTCCTATCTTGTGTTGGGAAGCTTTGGCTGTTGAGATATGAATTTTAATAGCTCTCTGGCTAGCTTTGCGCTGAACCACGTGGATGTGATTCAGCAGCTCAGACGTGCAACACAAAGTAATGAGAATCTTGTACACACTTTCAGGGTCTCTCTGCAACGGCAAGGCCAAGGAACCTTTCTAAGGAGCAGATGGCAAAGAGGGTGCAGCTCCACGATTGATTTCTCTCAACACAAAGACAGGCTATCGCTGAAAAGAGGAGCCAGCCCTTCCACCCACGGGCTGTTCTCCCCTCCCACAGGCCAGCACTGGCATTTGTGAGGCCACACAAAGAGAAGAATCAAGGAACTGATCCAACCATAATTAACACTGCAAAAGAAGAAAAAAGTTTCCAGTTGGATAAATTCCTTGCTCTGTTTCACCATATAACTGCATGAACAAACGTGACCAGGGCTGGGGACATGGCAGGACTGCTTCTTCTGGTGGTGACATGGGCTCGCTAAACCAGTGCAGATTTTTTAGAGTGGATTCAAGTGGATCCAGGCTGAGATGCAGATACACGTTCTCCTGACCCAGGAAGCAAGGCTTGCAAGTGAAAACCAACTTGTGCAGCTTCTTCACCCTTTTGACCACCCACCCGACTAAGATTTGGCCTTTCACTTGCAAGTATGGGCTAACGTTAATGCCATCGGGTCACAGCAACCCAACAAATTACCATTCTTCAGCTGACCCTTAGCAATAGCTGCCTGCATAGGCACTCCGTCTGTGGCAAACAGAAGGTTAAAAACTTTCATGATGACCCAACTCATGGATTTTTCCTCACCTTCGTAATCCCACTTGCTGCCTGTACCCTTCCTCATTTTACTGAATAGAGTCTCCTCCAACTGCTCTGAGTGCATCTTGATGAGACATTTCTGTAAAGTTGTTTTCTAATTATGAAACTAATTTGAAAGAAAGATTAATAGAAACAACCTCAGAGGAACACAGATATTTTATTTACAGCATGTAGTTAGATTGCCTGGGATACAGCAAAGAACCAAATTTGTAAAAGTAACAAAACACATCAAATTAGCATGTCAGTCACTGAAATGAGAACTAAACCCCAAAGACATAAAAACAATCCAGTTACTTACAGTTTGGCTGTGGTTCTGGAGGAAATTTGAGACGGATAATGGCCAAGATTATGAAAACAAGCACAGGCCAGGAAATTAAAATGAACGACCATACCTATAAAATAGCAATGAAAATATACTGGTTACATTTGCCATATTGATGTGTTCCAGAACTTGTCTGGAATGTAAAAGTACTACTCCGAATGAGTTACAAGATGCACTGTAAATAAAGCCTGTCTTGGTATACACACTATTAAAGAGCAGGTATTATTATGCAGGAAGAAAAACTACGTAAGTTTGTAGGAGCAAATAACAAGCATGAAAATAACACAAACCTTCCTATGTTTCAGTCTGGCTGGTAATTACGGGGGACAATGCTTACACAGCTTTGTCCAACTTTGAGATGCTGCCATGTAATAGTAAAAGCATGCTGAGAAGTACAAGATTTCTTAAGGTACTGATTGCAAGGTATGAGAGCTAAAGTGCAAAGGCTGATTTCACTCTCAGGGTAATATGGCACTCCTCCAACAACGGCTTAAAGATTACTTGATTTGATAAATTATTTTCAAAAAAATAAAGTGTTTGACATAAAAATGACAAGTCTATAGCATTTTTTTCTGAAAGTTTCACCATTCTTCACAAACAGTAGTTCAACCTACAGTAATAGTAGCAGTACAGCTAAAAGGAAGAGGAGATCCATAGCATTCATTTAGAAACTGAGCTCATGTGAAGGAAGGGGTTTATGCAGTCATGCATCCAGTCAGTGGTAGAAGCCACATTTGAACCCCAGCCACCAAAATCCCTTGTACGAGCTCCTGACCAGAGAAACCTAATGCTTTAAGACGTCTGCCCCCTTTACATTTCCAAATTGTAGCAGCGTGTGTAGATGAGCTGAGATGGAGGGACGGTGATGTAAAACTGGCCCCTTACACTCAGAAAAAGTATGAAGATTTACAAAGCTCTTGTCTTTGGCATGAGAGGTGACCATTTCTATGGATGAGAATGAAAAAATGCAGCCTGCTTATCAGCCAGTGTAGTAAAGTGATCTAGGTAAGAGGCCCAAATTCAGTCTTAAAACTGCAAGCCTTTGAGTTTTGTAAGCTAGGAAAAGGCACCTCTTCATTTAAATCAATTGCTTTTGTACTGGTTGGCTAGTTTGCTACTGTGCTTACGAGATTAGTGTTTTTCATCCATCAGTAGTTAAGCTCAAACTACCCTTTACTGCAAAATTGCTGTGCTATCTTCATGCCAATTTTTGAAACTGCAAAGATGCCTTTCTTCAAAATCATCCCATGTTTCATCACTGTGTTGCTACTTCTTTCAGATCAGCACATATTACCCAAAACTGTTTTTCCAGAGGTAATTCCAAGCCCATAACAGCGTTTTCATTTCTTTTAACACTTACGGGCACGTAAAAACAAACAGACAAACAAATCCTGGAAAGCAATTCAGTTTAAAGACGGTTGTTTTTACAGCAACTCCATCCATATCATCCCTGACGAGATGACACTCAGCTACGCCAAGTGGAAGCAAGATTTTATTCCCCGAAACAGGGAACTGACAGAAGTCAAACCACAAGTCAACCTCCCAACACATTCCTTTCCCCCCAGAAGACACTCCTATAATTTCAGCATTCAGCAACATTTTAGCTTTTACAGACAGGACTATTTCTGTCTTTTAATCATGCTGCCATTTATAATGAGATTCAGCATTGAAGCAAGCACCTTGTTATCATTTATGTCACATGCTTCCCCTATAATCAATCCCTACACATGCTGTTTAACTCAGATGAATTCACATGCACACAGTATTATTAACACGTCCTCCTTGCTTAGTACCACGCAGACTAAAGTAAAATTATGGGGTAACAGCAAAGAAATTGATATTAGTCAGAGGCTGCCTAAAGGAAGGGCAAGAGATCTGTCATTTTAGGGGAGAGAAACGAATAAATTCTGGTTGTCTCTACTCAGGGAAGTCTTTGTACCTCCCAGTTTGGAGCTAAAATGATGCTTCTACTCCCTACTCTCCAGATAGCTCTTCCCTTAGCATCTCTGTCCCTTGACTTAACTGGGTTGAGAGCATTAGTTGTAACACTGCAGTGTTCTCACTGTCCCAGGCATTTCTAGTTAACAGAAAAAAGACAATCACACCAGCCAAATTAATTGCAAGTAGAACACCTTGACTTGAATGGAGCCGTAACGTCTATGAATTCAGCTCCTGGGACATTAAGCACTGTGCTGTGGTACACGTTGCACAACCCTCTGGTTGCTGGATTATTTCACTGCTAAAAGTGGATTTAATTAGCTCATCATCCCCTGGATGCAGGTACCTTTTCCCTCCCTCGCGCCCCCCTTTAAATAACCAAACTGTCGAGGAGTGATAGAGGAAAGCAAGTCTGACTTCTCCAGTTCCCCTTCATACATAAGCTAACTGTTGCTTCCTAGAAGGCCGCAACCTAAACTCATGACTATTCCTTCCTCAGCAGGAGTCGCCTGTATTGAGGCACTCTCCGGCCATGGGTACAGAGCCTCTGTTGATTTCAACAAACGCTGACAGTCACACAAGCTGTAGCTTTCCCCATGCTGCACAGGTAAAGGCCATCTCTTCGGGGGCTCTGCAGAGAGCGCATGGAGGAAATAAATGGAAGCATAAAGCAAAACACAGAATCAAATGTGTTCCCCAGCCCTTGAGAGGCTGATAAAATGAGCAGGAACAATGGGAAAGCACTTCAGTCCCCAGGGGAGGACAGGAGCTGATTTCTGTCAGACCATGCTGTGACACATCAATCAACCCCAGTGGCAGCCAGCACCAGCACCAGGAACTGCATTCACAGGTTACCTTTACTTATCAAGAACTGAGAAGTGCAACTGAATGCTTCTCTTGCGAAACAAGTACACTAAAGAAACCATCTAAAAGCCAAGTCCATCAGTGAAATCAGAGTACACAGATAAAAACTGCAAGCAGGAAGGAGAAAGAAATCAAGATGTGTTTGGGAAGCAGAGTCCTGGATTTACCTCCTCATACCCTCTCCAAACTGAGCAAGTTCCCTAATTTGGAGAGAGGGGAAGAAAGGAGGGTTGGAGGGAAATGCCTGCCATAAACAATCAGCGGTGGCCAGATTTTTGTTTTAACTGACATTTCAATTCTACAGAATTGACATATCACCTCTACAGGAAACGAAGAGAAGAATTAAACTGAGTGAGAGTGTATGATCAGAACTAAAGACAGGGCTTAGGTTAACATTTACTCCGGCTACACAGAAACCAGAAGAGATATATATGAGCTTTCTGCTTTTAACATGGCTGTTTGGACTGCTCTTGAGAAAGAAGAGAGAATTTGCTGGACATGATCCTCGGCTTCCTCTGGATCTCGGAAGAAATCTGCTGTAACCTTCACAGAAGCCACTGACTCGACTCAACTCTACTCTAAGGCATACAGCATGTCTCCAGCTCCTGTGGAGGATCACAAGCAGTCAGGTGAACTTGGCATCTCTCAGAATCAGGCTTCAGACCCGAGAGAGGCAGGAGAGAACAGGCAAGAGGGGACCTTGCAAAAGCATGCAGGGATTAGAGGCCTTTCCCCCCATCCCCATTTCGCTCCCTCTATGGCCACTTTTCTTCCATCTGTCACCATTTTCTGCACCTGCCAAGGCTTCACATTCAAACAAAGACAGTTTAAAAATAATCAGACTTGGATTACCAGCAAGAGGATGGGTTGCAATACAAGTCCATTAACTGCAGTGTGATTCTGCTGAAATTACAGTGCAGTTGTACAGAAATCAGCTTCAGACAAAACTACTGGGCAGACATTGCTCGGACATGCAATGTCACCAAAGGAACATTTCCCTCTCTGCTGCTGCTGCAGTACAGACTGCTCTCTAGACATCACTAGCACGGTTTATTTTTGGAAAGAAAGACCATTTGGGGCTTTCGATTTGCATTTTTTACTTTGCCCATCCTTCACAAACAGCTCTATACAACACCACCTTCCTCAGTTCCCAAATTCTAGACTCCCTGGAGGCTTTACATACACTGCAGGGTCTGCTCCCACAGGAGCAGATTCAGGACTGTAGCCTTAATGTAGGTCTGCCTGTGAATGTGTGTCTTTGGATGGACCACTGCCCCAAGGAACACCAGTGGCACCAGTGGTACTCAGTCAGGACTCCGGAGCCAGCATAAAATGAGCTCCAACGCAAGATCTAAAACTTTAGCTTAAAAAAAAACCCCTCCTCTTTCATGCCATTCCCCTCCTTCCCCTTCTGCCTCTGTCCAGCCTTCAAAAGTCCTTCTATACAGTGATCTTCCTCCCCTGCAGTGCCCTCCCAGGTCCTCAGCCCCTGTGATTTCACACTCACCGGCTGCCTCTTGACACTCAGCCAGTTCTTCCACAGCAGGATCCTTAGGTGCTGAGAGAGTGCAGCCATCTTTGGCTGACCCAACCAAAAGCGAATGGGCTGCGTATTCTTCCTCCTCAGGCTTAGGAGGCAAAAATGGAGGATCTAACCCAGACAAGCATCCAGTGTCCAGTATCCAAGCCCTTGCCTCTGCCCCACAGCATAGCTCTGAAGCAACTATCTCATCCACTTGAGGCTGCTGTACTCCCAGTAACTGTAGTTCATGTCCTCACAGCAATAGCTCTTAGCAAATTCAACAGGTTATTCTTCTACAGGCAGGCAGACAGACGCAGCAGCCTGCCTCCACTTGTGTTAATTACAATATCCAGCCTCTTCTGGCTGCTCTTTGTTCAAGCCCTAACCGATAAAATGGATAGCATTCCAAAAAGATGCTTCTGCTTAAACAAAAGGTGAGGCATACCTCCTCCTCCTCCCCATGATGAAACTACTTAACTGCCCACACACCGCTTCTGCTGGAGTGGTGTCATCAACAGTGAAGAGTTAGGCCACTTGCCAGGCCAGTTTGACTTCCCCGAGTTCACAGGAAATGGCTTGGAAGAAGAAAGTATCGACAGCCACAACATGCATCTTCCTGAGACTGCTGAAGTGGAACTCATCTTTTTGTACTTTTGAGTGTCTCAATCAAACCTACTCACTCAGGGAAATTTAATGAAAGAGTTAAGGCAAAAATTAATTGCTCAGCTTCCTGCCTGTGGATCTTC